ATCATTCAATGGCATCCGAAATATCCAAGAATGACACACTGCAAAATTGGCAGTGTTATTTTAACTCTAACAGAGTTAAAATCAACTTCGAATGAGTGAACATATTGTCCCAATATTTCCAGAGTAAAAATAACACTCTTGTACTTGCACAACACTATTAAAGAGTTATATTTACACTCTATCAAGTAAAAAAGTAACTCTGGTCTACACTACTGGGAGTTGTTTGTTCCTTGACTCCAGAGTTAAGAGTGAAAATTCAACACTTTAACAGAGAGAATTTTACTCTGAATTTTTAAACTCTAGTGTTACGTAGCTGGTAAACATTACAATGCTCCTAAAAAAGAAACAATATTTCAATGTTATTAATCATTTTATTAACAAAATGTGTTAATATATAACAGCCAGCACTTCAAATTTAGACTTTTTAAGACTTTTATACCAAAATGGGATATTAAAAATGGCATGACTTTTTTGTTCCATTAATATTTGTGATCAAATTATGTTAATATATCAAACCTAATGTTTGATTAATAATATGCATTGATAAGAAAGATTTTTGCACCCCCATGTCAGGGAACGTCAAAACATATCCTGGCCATTAAAAGCTTATAAGCCCCTGCCCCACCCCTCTTTTTGTGTCATCATAAATATTGAGGAAAACAGTCATTCATATCACTTTCTCAATTTTTCAGCATATAAATGAGCATGACAATCATTCATTGACGTGCTAAATATCCAAGAATTATGTACTGTAAAATTGACATTGTTATTTCAACTCTAACAGAGTTAAAATCAACTCCAAATGAGTGTTCATATTGACCCAATATTATCAGAATTAAAATAACACTCTTAAAAAAGTTACTTGTTCAACACTATAAATGAGTTATATTTAAACCCTATCGAGTTAAAAATAACTGGTCTACACTACTGGGAGTTATTTGTTAATCTGCTCTAGTGTAAAGAGTGACAATTCAACACTTTTACAGAGAGAATTTAACTCTGCATGTTTTAACTCTAGTGTTAGTGTTGCTAGTAAACATTACCGTACTCCTAAAGAAACCACAAATAATTTTTATTAACAAAACACAAAAACTTAAGTAATTCAAATTTACACTTTTTAAGACTTTATGCCAAAATGCATATTAGAAGTGGGATGGCTTTTTTGTTCCCCTTAATATTTGTGATCAAATTCTGTTTATATATCAATCTTCAAATTTGAGTAATAATCTGCATTGATAAGAATAGATTTTGTTTGCACCCTCCTATTCCAGATATTGCATCTCACACAAGTATTGTTCTATATCAAAGCATATATTAAAAGAAAGCTTGTTCAGCATTCTGATGATGTAGATCTCAATTTCCAAAAATGAATCCTTATGACTGGTCCACTTTTCAAGATTCTTTAAATTTTCTAGTGCCACTTTTCTTGGGTTACTGTCATGATCTTACTAAAAACAATTTTATTAAGGCTAAATTTCTCATTTTCAAATTTCATAATAGCTTGTAATAAACAATAAATGATCATAATTAATAATAATACATACTATTGCATATGTCAAAATAGCAAAGCACTGAACAGCATGCTTTAAAAACATGCTAAAATGTAAAAATGCAATCATATATATATATATATATATATATATATATATATATATATATATATATATATATATATATATATATATATATATATATAGCGCAATCTAAAATAACTCTAAAATGGAAGTCAATAACACGATTATATTTTGAACAAAAAACAATATCAACAACAAAAAGCAATTATTCTTTAGCTTAGTTTAGCTGTGTGTGTGTGTGTGTGTGTGTGTATCAGGGTCTGTTCACATTCCTATGTGTTTGTGAATAGCTAGGGAGCCATTGTTGTGATTGATGCTGAGGGATGTCTTTGAGACTGCCAAGGGTTAATTACACTCCCTCTGATTCCCTCTTTGTCTTTGATAGGGCCACTTACAGCATATGGCCACAGCAATACAATAGTTTATTTTTATGATATTTGATGAGTGGTTTTTAATTTAGATTGTCACTTCTGGCAACCAGCAAGGCAGATGGTGTAGATTTGAATGCCCATCAGAGCCTAAACACCCTCCAGGCAGCTGTTGCTAATAAACTTTTTTTTTTTCCTCCCTGTTTTTCCCCCCTCCCTCGTTTTCCCCCACGCAACACGTTTTAGGTCAAGAGGAGTCAAACCTGTTACAACACCTGTTTCTGCATATGTAAATCTGTTGTTTTGTCATTTCATTAAACAAGGAAAAAAAAAAGGCAACGGTCCCTCGTGGTTGCAAATGCGACTGGCATCGAGCCCACTTGGCAGGGCGAAGACTGCTAGGGGAGGAGGGAAAGACACGCAAAAGACAACTGCGGTTTGTGTTGCACGACCGCAGGGCTGCTGGATGCTGAGGATGTTTTCCGAAAAGGCCTCCATGGAGAATTCGGCCCCTCCCACATATTTACCTTCTTTTTTTTTTGGCCTCTATGTGAAGCGGAAGTTGGATCCTGGCACACGCGTGGCTGGCACACGCTCTTGTTCAACCCCCACCGCCGTATTCCCATTGCCCTCTCATCATGCCGTGATGTTAGAGCTCGACTGCGAGCCACATGTGCTGGTCCAGAGTGTGCACAGCCTCTGGGGCTAATTGCCCCGGCCCCCCTCTGTAAACCACTGGTGCATGTCGATTATAACTAAAAAAGCATCGTCTCCCTGTTATATATGTTCCCTCTCTCTTGCCCACCACGCTTTTTGCAAGTAAGTTGTGGGATTTGACTTGTAATCCCATCTGTGTACGCAGGATGCAACAAATACGGCGTGAAATTAGAGGTTATTCCTCGGCTTTGAAGATTACCGTCATCGTTGTGGCAAACGCAGAATTGCGTGCCGCACTGGTTGTCGTAAGCGTCCGTCCTACCTTGATGTGCACGCCACTCTTCCCCTACCTGGCAGTTTTAATTTGGCTGCCGCTGAACCGCAAGCCACCCCGGGTTGGGCTCGGACGGCCTCCTGTTTGAGGGTCCCCGTTGTGTGTTAATC